GCGTATTTGCCTTTAGTGCTCTCCCTCCCTTTCTCTTTCTGCAAGCGAGGCAAAGCCAGAGAAGGTCCGATGGAGGCCGATCGAGGGATAAAAAAGGAGAGAGTCGGGACAGCCTGCGCCAAATAGATACGCCTCGTTGATTGATTTGTTAATCCGACTGTTAGCGATTGAAACCTATATACGGATATTCGATATGCTTTCCACGTAAAAAATGCTTGGCTTTCGATAGCACTCAATTTAGCGATGGATTGGCTTCCGTATAATTAATGCAATATATATATTGTTCTCGGTAAATTCAAGTATTCGAACGGCGTCGCACCGTCGATTTTTAAACTTAGATTCAGTTTACTGCAAGCTTAGTTCGATGTATTTACCAACCGAAGCTTTTTCCAGCAATTCTCCATCTTTTTTTAACCAAATCTGCTACCTTTTTATAAAGTTTCATTGCACATAATGAAATGTTCCAACTTTTAAATGCTTTTCTGAACAAAAGCGCGGAATCGCGAAACTTTCAAAATCTTTGGTTTTCTCTAGTTTATCGTGCTCTATTTAACATTTCCAAGCACTTTGTGTTTTACTTCCAAATCTGGATCTCCTCACTTTTCAAACAGTTCTTCAGAAGCTGCATACTTTTATAACGCTGTTATTAAAATAAAAATTTTACTTCAAAAATAATGCGACTCTTACGAGATTACCACAAGCCAAACTCTTGACGGAAATTCAATAAATGAACGCAAGCCAAGGTAGAACAAAATATTCATATCCAAGCCCAATATATAAATTAAAAATGTCCTATATAATCGAGAAAGGAAAAAATTGATCGCCCAGAGAAGGCAGAGATCAGAATTGCATATAAAAGTAGAGCGTGAATGTAAAGGAAGATGAATTTTAATGAGCTTCTTGCGGATAACTCATGTTTTTTGTATATTGAAAGTGCTTGTCGATAAAATGGATACTCATCTATATCTTTTGTTAATTTATTCAACTAGAAAGGAAAAAAGGGGCAATCAGCTATATTTCAGACAAGACGTGAAAATAGAGAATCAAATCGAATGCATTGGCTTGGTAATAGTCGCGAGCTTGCGCAATAAAAGACGAATTGATCAAGGCAAAGAGAGCGTTCGGTATAAGCGATCAAGCGTGAGAGTAGACGGGAGGCTATGCCACAGTTACAAGCTGAAAACGTTCGCGCAAGCCGCTCACGCATCGACAATCGAGGACATAACTTGGGAGGAAGTACTTGGAAGCGTGCTTGCCTGAAATGTAAACGACGTAACGAGCGGTCGCAAGTTGGGCTTGCGATCAAAGGAACGCGCTAGAGAGAGAGAGCATGCGCGTCGTGGCACATGTGCGAGAGAACGAATTTGGAAACTCGGTAATGCAGTTTTCATCGAGAAAGTTGAGACTGCAACGATGGCGCCGAAAGCTATGCTTCTCCCTCCCCCTCTTTCTCGAGTACCAAGGAAGGAAGGGAGGAAGGAAGGAAGGAAGGAAGGAAGGAAGGAAGGAAGAACAAACGGCGAGCACTGTGCACTCGACTGTACGCTAATACGCTCGGTGCTCTCTCTGACACTGTCTCTCCTTCTGGTCGGCACTTTGCCACCGACCAGACAGAGAAAGAGAGGATCAAGATGCTTGCGATTGTGCAAGAGCGCTCGAGCGTAGCCTCAACCCGCGAGCTTCTCTCACGTGCGCCCGATTTTTACGAGATTATTGCCTTTTGTCGTTTTACAGTCTCCACGAAATGACGAAGATATGGCAAGTGGTGTCTGCGCAGTGAAGGCACAGAAGAACAACAAATATGAAAGTTTGTTTAAACATGCGAGCTTGCGAGTGAGCAAGACAGCTAGACAGTGGGAAAGTCTTTTCACCGACCATATCTCTTTTGAGGGGTGGGCCGTGCTGTCTGAAACAGTTATGATGTACTTACCGGTAATGGTTGCGCAGTGGCATCTCAATCTTGCAAGCGTTTAAAGTTGCAGCGGCACAGTAGAATAAAGCTAATGTCGCTGGTGCAGCTGGCATTTGCTACGGCTGCAAAATTTGGTCGCAGCGAATGAATGAATCGTGTACCGAGGAAACAGCTGTTTTCCGGAGCTGTCCCGCAATAATTAATTCTTAGGCGAGTGCTCGCGATTCGCACGGACGAATGCCAGATAATTGCGAGCGAGCGCGAGTATTACTACGAGCTAAATTTATGTAGACACAATGCAAGCCCGCTGCGACCTCCCTTGCTCTCATTCCGCATAAACGCGTGCGCGTGTCCACTTTCCGTGCTATGTACGCCGCGCGCGCGCGCTCTCTCTCTCTCTCTCCCTCTGCCTCGCTGCAACAGTACGCGAGCTTGCAATATCTCTTTTCCGCCTTTTCGCTGTATATAAAACAGCTTACAAGGGCCGCTACATACGCGAGCACTGGTTGACTCGGTGAGAGAGGCAGCGAAGCCTCGGCAAATAGCGGACAGTAAACACACATGTACGTAGCTACAGCCAACTCGTGAAGGCTGCTGCAGAGAGAAAGGACGGAAGGGGAGAGGGGGCAGCAGCCAGAGAGAGGAACCGCATTAACCCCCCAGCTCGTGCCTTTTACGCTCGTGCGCGCAACACGCTAAACTTTGACTCCTCGTGAGCTTCGCCGCTGCAAATCCGCGAATTCTATCCGCGCTCTTGAGCGCTACACAGCTCTGTTTACATTCTACACATGCTGGCACCCAGGCTGCCTAATTTTTGCCTTTCTCTTCTTGCTCATGTTCGCTCGCGGCTACCAATTTTTCATTTAGTCTTCACCGGCTTTATATCCGATGGATGTGCCAATTTCGCACTTTATATTTTATTCCGGCATATCTCAAGAGCTGTTAGGTTGTATATTCCCCACGGGAGCACCAGCAATAATATTGTAACAAATTTCGTTCTAATGGAAATTTACTTTGCACTTACTACACGCACTTATGGATTGATGATGCCTTCTGCCGTGCCGCCGCTGAATGACGAGGATAAAGCATGAATTTTATAGCAACACACTTTTCACAGAGTACCTACAATCGATAGTTCTATGTCATTGCTTAAATAGAAGATGGCCAAGCGTTGCTTCAGTTTCTGTAGATAAACCATTTAAAAACTCGTCAAAGCAATTATTTTAAGCATTCTTGTGCTCGTGAAGACTCCATGCATATAGTGTTTACGCTCACTTTACCAAATCAATTGTTCCATTGAAAAGAGTGAGAAACTTTACTCGGCGTTGCCAATAGAAAAACCCAAATGGAAATAATCGTTTCCATATGATATACATAATATATTGTTTGTCATCGTCATTCTTTTTCATGCAGCATTGAGATGTTAAAGGTTTTCGACTGTTTAACTTGTCAAATGAAAATCAATGATTTTGAAGCTTCAATAGTAAGATACTAGTCACAGCCATATACTTCACAGTAATGCGAAGTTAAATAATTTGATGAATTATTAGTGATCCACTATTATACACATAAAAGTAAAGAGGTATGTACGAGGGATAGTACAACACACAGAAATATATCTCCGCACATCTAACATAAATCGTCTATTAAGCTGTACAGTCATGTGTATTTATATTGATATTTATATGCTCTCGTTAATACGCACAGACACGCATCCTTGTATGTAAGTTGTTCTAATAAGTGAAACGAAGACATAAAGGGATGTCATCATTTCATGCCAATATCCTTATAACCACTAATTGGAAGGAAAATCCATCGATATGTACGTATCAAAGTCATTATCAATATCTATGGATAAAGCATGGATAAATCTCCGCAGTGCAATTGAGCGATGCATAAATAATATGCTTACTAAGATAGATAATAAAAAATTAAAACTTAAAAGACACGTATAAAGTAGCTTTAGTAGATGTAGGGACTTCTAATACTATCAGCATTTTGCGTATCAGCGAGTGTGCAGTTGTTGACAATCAATTGTCAAGAAATGGGAGTAAGAAATCATATAGTGATAAAGAGGTAAGTTAAGCTTATCTAATCGGTAAAGAAAAAATTAGGGTCACAGGTTTTTTCACTATTCATATCAGAATTTGACCAGTCTTTGAAAAACTTTTTCGGGTATATACGGGGACACACAATATATAAAAGCATATATTTACGTTCATCATATACACATAATATTTAGGGTGCCGTATTAGTAAAAACTGTTGTTTATGCATGTAGAAATTGATTTGTCATAAACTTTATGCACAGTAACGTCAGTATCGTAAGATTTTAGTGGAAAAGATTTGGTGATGAGATTGTGGATTTTTCATATAGATATGTATATACATACATACATACATACATACATACATACATACATACATACATACATACATACATACATACATACATACATACATATATGATGAAGTGGTCGATAGTGAAATGAGTCATGTTGAAATGCCAAAATTGAAAAATAAATAAACAAGTGAATGAATAATTAAGAAAACAAGAAAAACAGAAAAGAAAATAAAAGTAAGAAAGTATAACGAAAAGAAAACTTGATTGATCAAATAAGAATTGTAATAATTGCACAAGTGATAACAATATATAGCAGTTGGTAAGATAATCAATTAATTATAATGGTATTAGTACAGTAGAATTAGCACAAGTATATCGTTATAGGCATATATTTGTTGGGCTTGTAGTATATAGACGAGCGGTATTAGGCATTTTATTAAAATTTGTGAGGTTTACTTGTTAGGTTTGAAAGAAAAATAAGACACGCAATGAGGTTAGTTTTTTTGTTTATATAGAAAATGTACATAGGACGCATGTATGCATATATGCCCAATGCACATATATGTACGCATACGCGTTTGTAAAAGAACAACTAGCAGATAGTAGTAATCTGTATTAGATATATGTAACAAATATTAATGTAGCAAGAATGAGAAAAAAAGCGTAAGGAGAGAATATATACGGATGAAGAGAAAAAAGGCTACAGACTAAACCTAATTTTTGCAAACCAAACAAACGAACCAACCTCCTCGGAAAGGCCTAGACGAAAATGTTCGCGGGACCCCTGTAACAAAAACATATATAAATCATAAGAAATCATAGGACAAAATAAAGTAATGAAATAAACTATTGCTCGAAGGGCTTTAAGTCTCGTTTTTTTATTATTGCGTTTTACATTCTTTTTCTCAGAATCACTTTTTATTTTCTTTTCTTTTCAGAAAAAATAGAAAATTTTATTAAAAGAAAAATAAGCTTCTGAAACAACAAATTTTATTATTATTTCTGAATACTTAATTATTAATTAAGCAAAGTAATTGGATTATCCAAGTGATAATTCAATTTTTACTGTTTAAAATAAGTTTTGATGAAAACAATATGAATGTGTCGATAACATCAATACGTATTGGTTAATGAAATAAAAAATATCCATTTAGAATATAGATGAAAAATATGGAATAATGTATAATAATACAAATATTGTAAACTCGTTAGATTCAGCTAAATGGATAAGAAGTAGTTTAATAGTTCGTGTACCTGAAAAGCAAACATATCAGATAATATTGTCTATGTTGATTAAAATTAGGTAAATATGTATATTATTGTTATTATACTTTTCCAGGAAGTTGTTGCTTAATGGCAGTCGTCAGTGCCACCAACGAACTTTTCTTACGAGCTCATTGATTCGCATAATAACCGTAAAAATGGAACTTTCAAAGTGAACATAAATAAGCTTTAATTAAATATAAGCAATAATTGATAATTATTCAAGTTGACAAGTAAGTAAACCGAGTCTAGAACGAGCAGTGGTTAATCTCACCAAGTAAACTTGTGCCGCCAATGCGCAAGCATCATAAAACTCGCGATAATATCGACAAGCTAATAGCCTGTCCGACTGCTTCCGGTTTATCGCTGGAATATCGATGTACTGCAAACATATGCTCGATTGTTCCAGCGTTGAAATATAACTTGCTTATTACTCGTAATATCAGATTGTCAGCTCGAGCAAATACATCGATTGTCCGCGAAGAAGTTCGATTGTCGAGGCTGGGTACGTATCTGCACTAGCGATATCTACTTCGGATATGTCATCATTCGGATACACATATTTAGTGGCAGTAGCTGCCGATAAATTCAGCTAGGCTGCTGTGTTTTAGTCCCGGCTCTTTAGCTTAAGCCTTCGACGCTGTTCAGCTTTGCCTAGCTCTCTCTTTCTCTCTCTTTCTCTCCCTTACTCGCTCGCGAAACACATAAATTCAGACTTGCCTCTCACTCGGCCTCCCACGAGTATTTTCCGCGGCTGCGGCACGAGAGAAGATCGGGAAATTGGGGCGAGCTTTCTCTCGGAAAAAGAGTGCGGCGGAATCGATAAATTTCGAAAGAGATGGGGGTGGGGGCGGGGAGAAAGAGAGCACTAGAAACGGTTCGATCTCGTGCTGTTTGTCTCGCTCCTCCTTTTGTTGATTATACTCTTTGGCGAACTCTTGGCCTGCGCTCGAGACCTCGTTTAGCTTCGAATATTTCAGCACTGGCGATAGAATTGTCATTCGCGCATATATATGTAGATAGGTTTCGCGAAGCAGCTTAATTACGAGCGCCGCGGGAGACGGCAGCAGGGGCAGAAATGGTGCATCCACTATTGACAAGGCGTTGTAATAATAATTGAGATAGACTCTATAAACGTTGGCCGGTCGCATTCTCGGCAGCTGGTTTCGAGGCTAACGACGTTATAAAAGCATCATCACGTTTGCCTACGTAGTTCACGCGATGCGCGTACAGGCTGTCGATGTGGCTTTCGCCAACGCAGATGATCGGATCGTTGTTGCCACGAGCTCGATTATTCCAATGAAAGAGCCAAGTGGGTATAAGAGTCGAAACCCGTACTCGGAATTCACGCGAGAAAGCTGCAAGTGAAACTGGAATTGCATTAAAGCCGGCGCGGGCGCGGCCGACTCCGGAAGCACGCGTCTCGATCTGACGGGGCGCCACTGCTGACGCATTGCGGAACAAGGAGAGGAGCCACGAGGACGCAGAGGCACAGGCCAAAATGAAAGGCTGAACGCTCGCCTGTCCGCATCCGGGTTTCACCTGCGCACGCTGCTCCGCTCGACACGAGCAGCGCCTTTTCATCTCGTCCGTTGCTCCGGGCTTTCCGCGGGACACGCGATAGTTCGCGCGCGTCGGCTTGACGAAAATCGAGCGCTTTCCGGAGAGCACAGTCGGGAGCAGGTGTCGCGCATATACGTGCGACGGCAAGCGTCTTATTGCCGGAGCTTGCGAAGTCGTGGAGCCGATTTCAGCAGCAGCGCACAGCCACGAGCGTATTTACTCACTGTTTGCCGGGGCCAGCTGCAGCAGCAGTAAGCGCTCGTGCTGCAACTTTCCTCTTTGTGTTTGCCCCCTCTCCCCATTTGGTGGCCCTTGCCCCCCCCCCCCCCAAGTCATGATTAAGAGCTAGGTTTCACGCCGGATTGTCAATTAAGGCTACAGCGTTGGAACGAGCTGGGAGGCAGTGGGCAGGCAGCACGGTGCATTAAGGTTCCCGTGCTGCTAATGAACTCGCAAGGAGCTTGGCTCAGCGTTAAAATTCATGAAAATCCAGCAACGAGCTGCGCCCCGCTACTTGCTGGCTCGCTATCTCCCACTCGCGCTGAGAAATTAAATGATTCGGATTATGAAGCGGGCATAGTCCGTAAAGCAGCATCGATCTCGCTCAGCCCGGCGTCGATCTCCCCCTTCGCGACTACTTGAAATATTCAAAGGTCGCCGGTGCACTTTGCCCACTACAGCGGCGAGCTGCAATCCCCGAGAGCCTAATCGGGATAATACCGCGAGCTTTCTTCTCGGCGTGCATGTGTGCTGCTGCTGCCGCCGCCGCTATAAAACGGCCCCTAATCTCGCCATTCCGTTTTTTCCACCGCGGAACGGTAAATAGATAAACGGGTCGAGGGGCCCTTGCGTCGCTGACTCTCGGCGCGATGAACATCACTCGAACAGTTTTTACGCGGCTATCCGACTGGTAGCGCTGTAATTAAATGGCTGGCGATAGAATTTGCCTCGCTCCGCCTTCTTCTTCGTCGAGAACGGAGAAAGACAGCACGATTGCGCTCTCAACGACGACCACGACCAGTCAATTTTTCGATTTAGCCTGGGCTTGCGACGCGATTGATTTGCCTCGAGAGCTGGAAGAAATTAAATTTAATTTAAGCAAGCGCAGCGCCGCGCTCGAGAATGGAAATCGAGTTGGCACGTCTTTATTACGGTCTCGGACATCTATAAATGCAAAACCAATAACGGCGATGCTAAATCAATCGCTATATGGCGAATTGTCGAGAGTGACTTTGGAGGATGATTTACGACTGGCGGGCGCACAGAGGGCGTTGGCGTTGGCGGCGAATCGACAGAAAGCCCATAAAGATTCATCGCAGCTCGTTACGTAAAGTCGATCGTCATCTCGCGGGCTTTTCTCAATTAACTCTGTCGCCAGATATAATAAAGGCGCCGTTTCGTATATATCGGTAATGCAAGGCTAAACCGCAAAAACCGCAGCAGCCGCCACGATGGTTCAATTAAAAGAAGAGAGCGAGAACGCGCGCTCGCGATGAGCCTTACAGGCATTGTGGGCGGAGATGAGAGGGGCCAGGCTGGAATTTAATTATAAATCATTTCACGGATGTGGATACAAAGACTCGCCGTGCACCCGGCCGCCTGCGCATTAAGCGAGCTACGCTATAAAGATGTCACTGTTCCGAGAAATCACATCTTCACACGCGTGTAGCTCTTATGCCCGACTGCTTATATTCCAAGGAATCACGGCGCTCCAAATACATGACAAGTCAATATTTTCTTTCTTCACCAGTTCTCGCGAAAGTTCAGCTCAATTGCCAGTTAATGGCTTGGATTCCGAAGGTAATAAAATCAACAGACACTCGGCTGTACGCCCTACAGAAAAATAGCGTGTGGCCCATTTGTCAAAGCACATATATCCGCATGACGATCCAGTTATTTCCATCGAGACAGAAAAAGCCACTCGACGCTGACCTCCGCAGCTCCTCGACCTCCTTGCCGGTTCTCTGAATGTTCTGCCTCCGCCTCGGCTCTTCGCGCGCGTGCACAGGCTCGCGTGGCACAATGAGCTGCCCGCGCCGTCGAGCGTCGCGACGCCGCCGCCAAGAAGTACGAGCAGGAAGGTGGAGGAAGAGAAGGGGGAAGAGGAGGAGGGGAGGAGGAGGAGGAGGAACGTAGTCAGCCCCGGAATAATTACGCAAGCTGCCCCCGAGGCACTCGCTCCCTCTCCTCTTTCCTCGTCGCCTGTTCTTCGAGAAAGAGAACAAAAAATAGCTGCGCGCACGTCGAAGCCTCGTTCGCGTGATTAATCTTAATTTTCGTCGAAGCATAATCTTTAATTAAATCGCCATTGATCCGCGCATGGCGCCCACTTCTCTCTCTCTCTCTCTCTCTCTCTCTCTCTCTCTCTCTCTCTCTCTCAAGCAGCCTGGAATATCGACCGCGCGATGCCAACGAGCTTTGTGTACGCGCGTTCAACCTGCTGCTGATGAATTAAATCAATTTTGAGAAGGGCAGAGAGAGAGAGAAAGGGCACGGCAGCGTAATTATCAATTTATTATATAGTAAATAACAGGCCTGAACTTTTATCTGCGATGCCTGCCTCTCACCGTCACCAGCGCGCACCTGTCGTTTATTTTCCGAGTAATTGATTTTTTCTTTCGCAGCGACGATCGAAGATGCGGGCGCCAGCGATTTATGCGTGGGCTTTGGTGTTTCCGCTGCCTCTTTTTTTGTTAGAAAATTGAATTTTAATTACTCCTCATTCGGCTTGCGTTGAGATATTTGATCAATCAACTGGAAGTTGAATTGCATATTCAATATGCAAAGAAGAAAAAGTGCATGCAGTTGTTTTGACAAGGCAGTTCGCGTTTGATTTATCAACGATGCTTCGATCCCTTTCAACGCTGTTTAATATTTATGTTGTCTCTTCTTTTTCCGCTGTTTACCTTAGTTTTATAATTTCAAATGTTATACGATGTCAAA